ACTATTTCTAGTCTTCATTATCCAGTGAGTATGTCTTGAGCACCTAATGTTTCTTCTGGCATTATGTTGGATATTCTGGAGGATACAAGAGAACACATAAGGTAAGCCCTGTCTTAAGGAACTGACAATATATTTGGTGGCCCCAAATGTCACCTGTTTAACAATGAAGGAATAATTGATAACTCAACTAATTGTAATAACTATATATGAAATAGGAAGAAAGGGGAAAGCAAGATGGGGTGTGCTACAACAATTGGCTTCAAGGAAGAAATGGGACTTGAAGGGTCTTCACATGTTGGGGTTGAGTACTTTGTAGAGGGGAGACTGCATGATCAAAGGTGTGAAATCAGGAGAAGTAAGCAGGGCATACCTGAAGGGCAGAAAGGAGTTGCTCTAGATTGAAAGTCAGGGTAGATGTGGACAAGTGGAAGGAAATAAGAATGAATAAGTGGTTGGGCATGGTGGCTCATACCTGTCATCCCAGTGCTTTGGGAGGCCCAGACAGGCCAATCATGAGATCAGGAGTTTGAGACCAGCCTGACCAACACGGTGAAACCCCATCTCTACTAAAAATACAAAAAATTAGCCAAGCATGGTGGCAGGCGCCTGTAATCCCAGTTACTCAGGAGGCTGAGGCAGGAGAATTGCTTGAACCTGGGAGGCAGAGATTGCAGTGAGCTGAGACCATGCCATTGCACTCCAGCCTGGGCAACAGAGTGAGATTCCATCTCAAAATAAAACAAAATAAAAAGAATGGATAAGTAAGATGAAACCACATTAATGAGGGCTTTGACATGAGGAATTTGGATTAGGCTCACTGTACTGGGGGTGAGGCAGCAGGGAGCCCAGCCATTAAATGGCAGTTTCCATAACAGCCTTCAGGTGAGTGGGAGGTAGGTGGAGTGGAGGTAGAAGACAAATTAAAATTGATAGGAACTGTCAAAAGAGCAGGTGATGTAATCTTAAAGATTTACAGATGATATAATTTTTAAATAACACAGAAAATTAGATATTTACTCCATAGTCTCTTGTTTGGGTCTAAATAATATCTTGGGTTTTTTTTCAAGTGGCATTTCAAAAACTAAGTGTCTTAGCAATCATTTTTGAGGCCCACTAACAAGTGTTCTCTCTAAAAAAAAAAACTCTTTCAATACACAGGAATGGTTGTGATTCAGTCACTGTTTGGGAGTAAAAGGCAAATAGAATTGATTTATAGTGCTTTGGGGTATTACTTATATGGAGAAGCATTAGAACATAGTGGGCTGGGTTCAAATCCCAGCTGTGCCATGTTAGAGAAGTCATTTAATCTCGCTAAACCCCACTTTCCTCTCCTGCAAAATGGGGATAACAATAATTAGAAAAATGCTTGGCACATAATAAATGTCAAGTTTGATTCACTTGGTCTGATTCACTTGGTCTCTGAGGTGGATGTTATTTTTATAGATTCATTGATCAAAATAAGGGCTACAAAGAGATAATTTATATTGGAAAAATATTGTCATTTATTATAGTGATAAACAAGGGGTTAAAGTTTGTTGTAAGAAATAAGTAATGAACAATGGGAAATTTCATTAAAACCACTAAGGACAAAGTACCATTCCTTAGCTCTGCACCTATTATAACCATAGTATTATTAATAGTAATAAAGTGCTTGGTTTCTATAGAGCATAAGAGTTGGAAACAAAGCCAAGTGACATATTATATATTTATTTAATTGTGGGAGACCCGGCAACATTTGGCGGCAGGCGCGGTGTTCCACTCAGTGGGATGAAATGCGTGCTTCACGCCAGCTTCTTTAGAGGGACTGTTAATCATCACAGCTGTAATGTTCCCTTCAGAGAGCTCCCACCGGAATGGAAAAGGAGCACTGGCAATTTATATACAAAAGCCAACCCACGTTTGGCGTCGAGAATTCACTGGGAAACTGTATGCAGTCTGTTAGTTATTCACGGACATGCTCTGATTTCTGATGGAAGTGCTGTGGTTTCGTTTTGTTATCGTCCCGGTAAAATTAGAAAGCAGCAAAGAAAAATTAAAGGACTAGCACGTAGACATATTCTAGCTGACAAATTGGTATATGGCAAGTTTTCAGTGTTTAGTGGCCGTGTAAAAATAGTCATAATTAGCACAGCCCTGTGTTTTGAGAGTGCATGCTGGCCTTTGCCCCTACGCCCAGCCCTGCCCCCACCTCCCCTTGATGAAGTTACGTAGTTATCTTCTTCCCTAGGAACACTCAACAAGCCTGCAGAGACACACCAACACGCTGCCTCTCAAAACAGTGCCATTTATGTGAAATACATTGGGACATCTCTTAACATCTAATGAATATAAATTGCTTTACAGTTGAATCTTGATTCAAAAGGACTAATATCTACAGTTAACCTTGCAGCTAAAATAGTTCCCTACCTCTTATTGGAATAGGTGCCTAACTCTAGGCACCAAGATTTCTTTTCAAATAATATATTATTTCATATCTACAGAAGTGTGACAATAGCAGATCTGCTATTCTAAAAGCACGTTCACATCTACCATCACATCTGATCTTTACAAGAAATGCCAGAGGGAGACAGGGCAGGTACCACAATACCCATTTTACAGATGAGGACACAGAAGTCCAGGAAGATTAACTAATTTGCACCAAATCTCACGAGTAGGAGGGACAGTAGTGGGGCACAAATCCAATGACCAGTAAAGGGTCCTGTTCAACACTTTATATCACTTTCCTGAAATGGTTTTTATTTTGCAAGAGAAATAAGGCTTCCTCTCCTGCAATCTTAAGTTAAATCTCACTATATTTAAATGACAAAGAATAAAAATAAGTAGTTTCTTTTAGTCCCAGCCAGAAAAGCAAGCATGGTACTGGATTGTTTAGGTATGAACTAGATGAGAATGTGATGCTGTCATTTTGTTGGTTGATATTTTCCCCCATGGAATCAGTTCTGTACTAATTTTAGTTCAACCAGCACTGAATTGAACAACCGCTATATAGCAACCAGTATGTCCTGGCTCTTGTCCCAATGGCCCTTTGTGGAGACAGACAAGTAAACACGCAACACCTCACGGTATTCTGAGTGCTGTGATCGAGAAGTACACACTGGCAGCTAGGAGAGCCCGCGGAGAGGGGGTGTCAGAAAGGCTTTCTGCTGGGGGAGACATCTAAGATTAGTTGTGAAGGATGAGTAGGAGTTCTTCAAACAAAGAAGGGTGGAAAGAAATTCCAGGCAAGTTCAGAAATGTGGAGATAGGAGACAGCAAGAATAAACACAGTTTCTGCCAATGGGCACAATTTCTGCAGGGGGGGGGGAGGGCCATTTTAAAGGGGAATGAAGTGTAATCATAATCATCACTAATGCTCACATAGTGCCTCCCAAGCACCAGACTATATTCCAAGCACTTTACATATACAAATGCATTTAATCCGCAGTCACCTGGGAGGTAGGGGCAATGATCACCCCCAATTGCAACAGAGAACTGAGGCACAAACATGAAGCAACTTAGTATTTCATGGCCTGTGCTTTACACACTGTGCTATTATACTGTCTTTCAAATGTGTGTGTGTGTGTGTGTGTGTGTGTGTGTGTGTGCCTGTGTGTGGAAGAGAGAACATGAAAAAGCTCCAAAGACAGAAAGACAGATGACCAAAGTTTTGGGAAACATTTAAATTTGGAAAACGTTAAACCAGCAGAGGGGCTTTATTCTAGAGAAGAGGGCGAGAAGGCAGCGTGAAGAAAATGAACCTCAGTAATATTAAGAAGCCTGTAAGTTAAACTCAAGTGAGAATGTTCTGCTGATTAGAAGTAAGCTAAGTCAGTCACGTGTCACCCAGGGGAGCTGCCAACTCTGCTTCCTGCAGGTTGTGCTCCTTGGAAATGTTTTGAATCGGTCTGAATCCCACCAGGTGACTTGGGAAGGATGTGAAGCAGACACATGTTTGTTGGAATGTGTAAGCTCTTTGAGGGCACATGTTCGATAAATATTAATTGAAGGCAAACCAAGTTTAGTGCTATAACTGAGTATCATGAATCGAGAACACCTCTCATGTTATGCATAGGTGTTATGTTTCATGGCCAACAGGTAAAAATCCTATAAGGAAAGTTTTGCATTTTCTATCTTCTCTTTCTTGAGGACTTTGGTATAGACAGGGGCTATCACTGGCTATTAGGAAGTTTCATGTTCAATTTGCAATCCACTTCTGGCAAGGTAAAAAGAACTTCGTGTTATTAGTTTACTTACTAATCTTGTCCCCCTTTCATCTTATTTTTTCGATGTTTATTTCCTCTCCATACTCACTATTTAAAAATAAATTATTGCACTATACGTGTCTTTGAAAATGACCACAAATTCTTTTGAAACAAGATACGGTATAATTAAACACACATGTAAAACAGATGTTACTTGGAGATTAGGTAAAAATTAGTTTATCCCCCACCTCGGGACCTCAGAGTATCTCCATGATTCCTATACTCCTGTGGGCCGTGTCAGTTCAGCCCTGTTTATTCATTTTTTTTTCACTCATTCTTTCAACAAGTGCCTACTGACCTCCTACCACAGCCCGGGCATTATGATAGGCAATAACGACACAATGGGGCAAACACAGGCAAGTTCCATTTCCGGCAGAATTTAAATTCCAGTGAGTGAGAGGCAGACAAACAAAAGTGAGGAATTCAGTGCATGAAAGGAGATTTTCAGATAGTGAAAAGTTTGATGAAGAAAGTGAAGCAGAGTCCTCTGAGGTCTTGAGATGTAGTGAATTTCCCCTGGGGGGCGGTTAGGGAAGTCTTCTCTGGAAGGCGGCTGCTGGCTGAAGCCTGAATGGCCCAGCTTGGCAGCCTGCAGATCTGGAGGAGGGGTTTCTGGCAAAGGAAACCACCAGGGCCAAAGCTTTGAGGCCAGGCTGAGCTGGGCACATTTCAAAGACAAGGGAGGCCTGAGTGGCAGAGATTAGTTGCACTCAGGAGAGAAGGGGTGGCTATGGGGGATGAGTAGCCAGAAGGGGCCAAATCATACCGTGCTTTGTAACCAGGAGGAGGTGGACATTTCTTCTGAGTGCGGGTCCTAAGGGATCTGATTGCTGATTTTTAAGAGGTCAGTGTTTCTGTTTTGCGGAGAAAAAATTGAACAGAAGCAGGAATGGAAGCAGAACACTCATTAGGAGGTTCTTGCATTTTCCAAGGGAGAGAACAAGGTTGCTTGAACTACGAGGAACTAGACATGCAGGTAGAAGTAGGTGGAGTTAGTTTCCATTGTAGAGATACTGAGAGAGGCAGACCTCCCTCCTGAGTCCCCCACCTACTCCCTTTGATGGCTTCTGCAAGAAACTGAATTGAACCAACTGAAATTTTTGGAAATTTATGAAAGATTTATAGGACCCTGAGGAGGGGTTCACCTTGGGGATCATGTGGGTATCTTGGATACCACCCTATTTGTCTCACTCTGCCCCCCTAGTTGTTTTTATTTTTTGAGACAGTGTTTCCCTCTTGTTGCCCAGGCTGGAGTGCAATGGCACAATCACGGATCACTGCAACCTCCACCTCCTGGGTTCAAGCAGTTCTCCTGCCTCAGCCTCCCGAGTAGCTGGGATTACAGGCATGCACCACCACGCCTGGCTAATTTTGTAGTTTTAGTAGAGACGGGGTTTTACCATCTTGGTCAGGCTGGTCTCAAACTCCCGACCTCAGGTGATCCACCTGTCTCGGCCTCCCAAAGTGCTGGAATTACAGGCGTGAGCCACCACGTCCAGCCTCACTCTGCCCTTTTTAAGGGTCCCTGGTGCTTACCCATGGCCCTCCCCTCTAATCCTGCCCCTACAACCAGCTTTCTCCAAGGGAGCAGTCCATCTGCATCAGTGTCAGTTTAAGATCATCACAAGCATATTAACTCATATGGAAATCCACCCACATTCCATTAAATGTTATTTACATGAGTTGACTTGTGGCTGACTTGATGATACAGCGTTATGGTTTGTAGACATTTTATTAAGCATTTATCTTTATTTTATGATTTACTTTTCTGTTGTTGTAATCTATATATATTTTCTCAGACTTCAAACATTTTGTAGGCCATTGCAAAGCCCATGTCTCCTGTGTCTGTGGGTCCTAATGATTCAAACAGCCGTGACCAGGCCTGCCTGTGTGGCCCAGCCTCACTGGCATTCTAATGAATAACATCATCTCCATCTCACTGCACAGAAGTATGAACTGCAGTGTCAGCAGGTTTCCATGACACCACCCGTGATGGAGAGCACACATCTCTCCCACACTCTGCTGGTTACCAAGCCCTGGCAGTGCAGACCAGGCCTCCTGGGCTGCCTTCCTCCCTCCAGCTCGGCTCGCCTCACAGGTTCCTCTTCGCTCCCACGCTCTGCTCCCTAGACCTCCGGCCCAGAAGGAGGGACCCAGAGCCTGAGGCAGGAGAAATTTCAAGGCAGAGACGAGTTGAGGGTGAGACCCAGGCCAGGCCAGATAGAAAACACTGTGAGAAAGGACTGAGGCCTCCACATGCTAGAATCTTGTGGAAAGAAGTGGAGGCAAAGTTGGGGATGAGAGAGAGAGGAGGGAGCAGAAGTGTAGTGAGGAAACGAGATGGGGAAACACCTGGGAAGGCAGACATGCATCTGGAAGATTCAAGAAAAGGTCATTTCATCAAGCTGTGCTCCAGCAGTTTGTGTTTCAGCAGCCACACGGACACCTGGGCTTTCCTTTCTGACATCGTTCTCCAGCCAGCCAGCCAGCCCTTCTCAGAGATCACAAAGGGCTCTCTATAAGGGAGACTTTCGAAACTAAGAAACAGATTTGGGTGTTGCACATGTTTGCTCTGGAGCCATACTGCTTGGGCTCAAATCCCAGAGCCATGCCTTCATCACCTGTAGACCTTGGGCACATTACTCCACATGCCTGTGCCTCAGTTTCCTCAGCCATGGAGTGCAGTGGTAATAGTTCCTACTTTTACTGAGTCATTGTGAAGTTTCCTGTGAAAGGCCTAGCATACGAAAAGCACTCCGTAAATGTTTAGCTGTCATTCTTTCAAGGAATTGTAAGAATAATATCACTTAATTGTGGAATATCATTACTGTTTACATTTAACAAATTATATGCTTCAATAAAAAATGCAATGGCATATAACTGATATCTACAGGTAATTATAGAAGTTAGGGTTTTTTTCTATTTAATTAAATTATAGCACTCTAGAAGTAGGATGGTTCAGTCATGGGAAGTGAGTTTAGAGTTGAATGAGAAGTATCTGTGTTATGACCATATTTATAACCTCATTTGGAAGCAGTGTTAAAAGCCCAAATTTGAAGTCCTTTGTAAATATTTGTCTCCAAGCCAAATGCTTTTCTGGGTCCCCTTCCTGACTCCTGCTCCCACCCCCACTCATATCTTAAAATGACTAGGGCAGAAAAGGGTGGGGGAGTTGGAATACACTCTACTTCCTGTCTCTGATTTTACAATTATATTAACAAGGCATGAGGCCTTTACCTCTACAGCTGGATGATTTATATGCTTATATATATATTACACACACACACACACACACACACACAGAGAGAGAGAGAGAGAGACAGAAAAAGAGACACACACACACAGAGATTCAGCTTAAGATGTCAGCATAGATCCTTTTGTAATTCATGAGCATGACGATGGGATATATGCCTCCCTCAAACCTTCTTCCTATAGGTTGGAACTTTGCCCACCCGACATGAAAAAAAAGTTAATGTACAAGGAGAGATAACGCAAGGCTAAAACTCATTTGTCCTGTAAACAACTGAAGGCGGGCCAGTCTTTGAGAAGATGAAGGCCTACAGGTACTAGCCAAAAGAGAAGGGTGGGGAGGACAGTTTAACTTTCCCTACCTCACAATTTTGTTTTAACTCATATATGCCCAATAGAAGCTGTGTGTAATGCAAGCAAAAAATGAGTGACCTTCTACCAAATGGCACTCTTCCTGGCTGCAAATGTGACCCTAAATTACAGCAGTCTATAATGTGGCAAACTCAAGAGGGACACGAAATTAACATTGCCCCATGGTTTCCCCTGGAAACACCAGTGCCATGCATGAAGAGCTTTGTGGCTGCTAACCCAGGGAGCATTGCTTGCAGAACTTTAGAAACTGGAGCCTTGCCAGCTCTCAGGGAAGCTGAGATGAAAAGTCTATCTAGAGTACAGCAGACTGGCTGACCTTTCAAAGGCCCTTTTATCCTCGAGAGTTTGTGGTTTTGATGTAGTGTTGAGTATTTTTTAACTTTCTCTCAAGAAGTATCAGTAAGTAGATGAAAAATAAGGTCTGGGTCTGCACTAATACAATAATTCCCTCATGCATTTTTAAAGATTTTTTAAAATAGACAAGTATTATGGTCATATAGTAAGCATCAATAATCCAAACGATGAGAAATTTAAATTTGTCTCCTTTGCAGATCTAAGAGTTCAAAATTGCTATGAAGGCATATTTTGGGGGGGATACTATTTTATAAATATGGGAGACAAGTCATTGTTGCTTTGCACACAGTAGGAAGATAGCACTTTTTTTGAGTGAATGATTTTTAAGGAAGCTTTTCATGTCTTAATGTTAATGATTTTGGAGGAAATAAAGTCATTGGATAATGATAACTTTAAAAAATAGCTAATATTTATTAAATGCAGTCTATCTCAGTTATCTAGTGCTGTGTAACAGACCACAAAATTTAGTTTCTTAAGATAATATTTCATTATTTCTTAAGGTTTTATGTATTGATTGGGCTCAGCTGGGAGGTTCTTCTGCCTCACATGGTGTCTGTTGAGACTGGAATGTCCAAGATAGCTGTCTAGTGTCTCAGTTGACCTGGATGAAAGAGCTTGGGTTTGGCTGGGCATTTCTCTTTCTCTCTCCAGGTGTCTCTCCAAGACAACCTAATCTTTTTATATGGTGGTTCAGGGCTCTAAGAGCATGTGTCCCAGGAGGATAAACTCCTATTTACAACCACTTATTAAGACTCTGCTTCCATACCATTTGCTAGAATCTCAATGGCCAAAGCAAGCTACTCGGTCAAATCCAGAGTCAATGGGAGATGGAACTAAATAAGGACTTAAATATTTGAAGGCATGGCTCATTTGGGGTCACATCACCAGTGTAACAGTCAACCACATAAGTTACATACCACACTTTGGATTGGACACTTTACATCCACTTGTCTTCTTTAAAAATAATAATTTAAAAATCCTATGAAGTGGATACTATTTACAATTTTCATTCTAAATAGACACAGAGAGGTTAGGTTACGTGAACAAAGTCACACTGGTAAAAAAAATGGCAGAGCTGGGATTAAATCCAAGCCATCTAACCCCAGAACCTGAACTTACAAATCTAAAGACACAAACAAGAATAAGAAATTATTAACTTCCAGAAGTAAATGATATTCCAGAAATACTTAGGTAATAATTGGTTTGAGAATGTATACATTCAATAGCAATTATAATAATTTTTTCCTGCTTTTTGAAGAGAGGTCTAAAAGCATTGTGAATCACAGAGGCAAGAGCAGTAGCTTGATCTGGGTAACAATTGTACTCTTCCTTATTCACTGAGGTACTCAATGTCTTAATTTCCTCAACTATAAAATGAGAATAGTAATACTATCTAACTTGCAAGTCTGTGATAAGGTTAAGTTAGATAGTATAGTGAGCATAAAGTACCTAAAATATTCTTGATGCATAGAAGGTGCTCATGGCCATGTGTAAGAGTCCTTGGTTGACACAGCTGACCATGGTAGGACATGTGGGAAGTGGGTCTCAGGGGATTCATGATCTCCCCCATTAGCTCTCTGGAGAATGACTAGGATGCTGAGTTTAAACCACAGGATAGGCTATTACCCTACTCATGGGTGGGAATCATGGGTCAGAACAGGGTGGAAGAAATTACTAGTTTGCCACACCTCACTCTAGGAACACTGGAAAAGTAGATACCATGGTTCCTGGGAGACTTACAACTGGTATCACCACAGAACTAGTCTAAGTAATCCATCCCAACTTGACCGGGCTATATTATCTGCAAATTTAATCCTACTCTAAAAATGTTTCAGGACACTTCCCAAATTTGGGAGGTACTAACTCAGTAAGGATCAGTTATCTTGTTCTGATCACCTTCCAGCAGAAAAACTGTTTTGATGTTAGTGAAGATGTGGATAAAAGGGAAGATAGGGAAAGCAATTCATCATGGATAACTTTCCAAACCTGTTTCTATGGTCTGGTTACGCCAGCTGCTGTCTGCTGGTTTTGAGGCAGTTTATAGCTGGAAGTAACAGGACTCCACATTTCTTCATTTGGGGTCTGAATGATGGCTTTTTCCATGATATTATAGTCACAGTTTTATAACATGAGTTATGGCAGCTTTAAATTACAGCCACAATATTATGGGTAAAAGGATAAATCCCTCACTTCCTTCTTTTATCTCTGAAGCAGTCGGGGAGGAGGCCACTTACCCCAAAGCAATAAAATGAGGGTGGGAGATGTGCCTATGTCAGAAAAGGCAGCTGGCAGCATGCTTTGCTGAAATGCTCTCAGATGCAAATGCTTATTATACAAATCTCTCTTCCCTGGTTGCAGAAGGACAAAGTAAAAGAGGATGATTGAGGAGAAACCCACAATCTTCAGAGCAAGCCCTTTTAAGATCTACTCATTCCATGTATGCCCCTGTTAGCCTATTGTTCAAACACTGCTCTCTGAGAACTCAAGGAAACTTTTCCCAAAGCTTCATTTTTGGGGTTTTTAAAGGTAGTTTTCCATAATTCATTAAATGTGTTTCTTTCTCACGATCTCACATGCTTAAGTAATTCTTGAGTGCAGCACCTCGATTCTGTGATACAGCTTCTGTTTCATTAGCTGTTAAACTCACATAAGTTTCTTCACCTCTTTAAATGCAGTTTCGTCATCTATAAAATATACATAATGACTCCTGCATCACAGTGTTATTGTGGGAGTGAAACGAAGTCATTTGCACCTTCCTTCCTCTTGCCTTTCTCCCCCGACACTATCAATTGTGTATCCCACATGTCTCTGGGATGAATTCCCTTTTCGCCATTGTCTGCTGACACATCATCTGTCACCTGGACCTGGCAGGACCCTCGATCCCCCTACCACAGATGCCAGAGGGATCTTTCAGAATGCACACTGACCTTCCTTCACCCAAAGCCCTTTGCTCACCCTCATTGGCTGTAGGCTAGGGTCCAAACTGGAGCAGAACACTCAAGGCTCCAGGATCCTGCCCTGAGGCACCCCTCCAGCTTCAGCTTTCACCGTCTCACTCTCCACACACAGTTTCCCACTTCACATAGCAGACGACAGCGTTTGCTTTTCCACCAAACTCTCTGTCTCTCTTTCTTGTTCTCTTTCTCAAGTCTCTTGTGTCTTTACACAAGTCACTTCCTCTGCACGGGGGCTCTGGTTCCTTTTTTCCCCCCAGAACCTTCCCATGCATCTTCAATACTCAGCACAGGAATCATCTTGTTCATGAAGTTTCCTTCTCCATCGCCCAGGAAGAGGCGGACTCCCCTTCCTCTACACAACACCTCCTACCTCCATGCAGGCACTTTTCAGTTCATTGTAGTACAGTCTACTGCACCTTGCTGTCAGCGGCAGCAACTTTCTTTGTAGCCTCAGGGTACTGCACAGGTCTACAGAGAAGAATGATTCAAAATATGTTGGCCTAAATGAACTAATAAATGCAAAGTTTTCTTCCTTTTAAATGATGACTTTCCTATCTCCCTCCCTCCTGTCTCAAGAAGTCAAACTCACTTTTAGCAACGATGATGAACTGCATGGATCAAGCTCAGCTCAAAGCAGACAGGACAGGGGGGAGCCATCATTTTCAGCACAAGCAAAATATAACAGGGACTCAAAATGATAAGACATGCAATACTGAATTCTGATAACATTTATTTTATCAATGCTTACATCTATTTCAAAAAAGCATCTGGGGGTAGTTCATAAATATCAAAGCATCTTTAAAACACGACAAATTAAAGAAATAAAAGCCAGAACAAAAATATTTTAAAGGGAGCAGAGAACAAGATGCCCCAAGTCCCTGGGATATTAGTGGCCTGTAAGAGTTGGGCTGGGGAGGAGGAAGGAAAAATGAGAAGTGAGAGCATCCACGAGTGGTATAGCCTTTGAAAGGGGGACAAAAGCTCCTTATGAGATGGCAGAATTGAGAATCCAAGATTGTTACAACTGTGTGGTCACATGTGCAGTGGGCAAAGCTGAAATTTTTGGTTTAAGTTTTTGTATGGAATTTGTATTTTAGGCACATTTCTTGGTCCTTGGAAGACTATTAGAAGCCTAGGTTTATTTCTGAACAAAAGCATTCCCATGTAGTCTTTTCCTGGTTTAAAAATGGATCTCTTAATTATAATTGAAAATACAATAAAAAGGGAATGTAAGCAGCATTTCCTTCCTTTGATTAGAAAACTCTTAGGACTTCTAGTCCTGGGAAGAGAAGAGGCACTTGGGAGGCTCGGGAGCCAGCTCTGTGAAAGGCTTTGATGCAGCAGCGAGGCAGTGAGGACACCTCTCGGGTCACACACCCTCTTTCCACTTGTGCGTCTGCAATGGTGTTAATCAGGGCTTCAATCTCAACATTTCAAGGAAAAAAGAAAATTATTTGGATGGACAGCTTTACAGTGTATGCCAAAAAGAAATTAGAAGCTGAAGGATGACGTTGAAAACATACACAAGAACAATAGACTTTACTCTGTAATAAAAAGAACCAAAATACAAAACACAATATGCAAAAACAGAGATGAACCTCAAAAGCATCAGGCTAAGTGAAAGATGCCAGGCACGAAAGATTACACACTAGGCGATTCCATTTATATGATATTCTGGAAAAGGTAAAGCTGTAGAGACAGAAATCAGATCAGGGATGGGAATGAGGGGAGGGGATTTACTAGAAAGGGGTGCAAAAGAA